GATATAATTACCATGCCCCAAACAAAAATGATCCTAGCGTACACACGGTGCACAAAAATCATGACAAAAAAGCTGACTTTTGGGTGTAGATGTTGCGAAATTGGTATCTTGTCCATACTGGACAATATAGGACCGTTCACTTGCTGATGTGACAAGATAATCGTACGATTTTCTCCAAATGTGAGAACTGTAAGTACAGTCTATTCAAATAGAGAAGATAAGACTTTCTACTGTGGGCAGGAGAACATTTTTGGTAAATGTCATTACCCTCCACTTTATCCTACTTTTCCAAGTTTTGATGGTTTGGCACCTTGTAGACCCTATTTTTGACACCTTAGTCGAGATATATTGTATTTTCGAACCTAATTGACTCAAGATTGTTTTTTAATGTGGGTTTGGATGATAATTCATGCAACTAAAGGTAAATTCGATTACTTCAACAATACCACAAAATATTTTGATATTTGTGAACTTGTATTGTTACTCGACATTGATATATGGTTTAAATGTTTGGTTGGTGATTAAATTATAAGATAAGAAATTATAATTTATAGGTCCTATAAAATATGTGAATAATAAGTTAACAGTAGTTATAAATTCCACAAAATACCCGGACAAAAAGTATGTTTAATGGGAAGTTATTATAAAATAATCTTTATTCAAACATTAGTTGTGTATTCCCATGCCGTGCCATGTATTATACACAATCATTCATCATTTTTAGTGATTGAAAATGTGAAGTGTGGATCCCTTTGTAGTTGTACCATCATTTATATAATCATTGAAAATGTGAAGTGTGGATCCCTTTGTAGTTGTACCATCATTTATATCAAGGCTAAGTACTGTTGATTTTTTTCTGGAGATTGTTTGAGTTACTTGTTGCAATATAATAGATTTATCAAAATGTCATCATTGTTCAAAATAATTTTTTCGAATCAGGACACCAAAGATGATTTTCTTCTACTCTTGAACTAATCCTATTTAAATCCTTTCATGTGATAGTAAGCAGTTTAACAAAAAAACCATGTAAAATCACAATAATTCCAAAAACATTACATTTAGTGTCTCGACATTAATTATAGAAGATGGTAGACTTAATAATACGACGCACAGTCAACTGTCTCAACTCAACATGTAATTCGTTTGTTTAGACGACCTGTTTTGTTATGGCGTATCTTTAATCGTGAAAGTTTGCACTATTATCTAGATTCTGTATTCACCATCATTGTGTGTTCTACGTTATTCTTCTTTTCCATCTATCTAAATTTCATTTATCTTTTTTCGTTGAAAAAGATATCTAACAATTTATCTTTAGTTTTCACAAAACATTTGATGCCATATGTGATATGCGAGAACATATTTTCCCCGTTGATTCATTTTTTCACCATAAGTTAGTCATTGATAGTTTTTTTTTTAGTGTTGAAATCCACGGGTTGAATTAGTTACTAGAAAATGACTATGCGACAACGCATAGAAAGGATCCCCAGCACCAAAATTAGTCGGAGAGGGCAGAGAAGGCTTTATCTTGCATTCAGTATACTCTGTTACACTTATCTATTTTACAAGCACTTTTATATAAAGAGGAGACTGCTTGCCAGTATAATATCCCAAAATCTCGAGTCTTCTTATCCACTCTCTCTTCAAGTTTTGGGTGTATATATTATGATTTTTGAGAGCCCACAAATTGTGTATATCGAAAAGACATGATTATGGGATGCACAACTTGATAAGTTAAATAAATAAGAGGGAGCATCAATATAATTTACTTTCTTATAAGTTTTGGATGTTCACAATTTTTATTATTATTATTTTACTTATAATTAGCCAAACATGGTTGAAGAGAAAAGAATAAAAAAAAAAAGAAATGAAATGGTTGGACCGAACTGAACTGGCCCCACATTCTTGTCACGTTGGCGGCATGCAAAATGTACACGCAAATAGCAGCTGCTTCGTCCTTACAACCCATTTGAATCATACTTTCCTCTTTCCTTCAGAATCTCTTTCGGGCTGACTCTGTACTTATTATGTAAATTTATGTTGTATGTTTGTATTTATTTGTATGAAATGGAAGGGTTTATATAACCTTTCACTATTTCTTCAACCCACTTTCATCCGAAGCTTTCTCGTAAATTCCACCCAATTTTAGCTTAATATCTCTTGGAAAAACCCACAATTTAACATCAATTTTGGCGAGGATAGTTGCTAGACCAACTCTTTTTTGTACCAATTGTAATTCGGCGACTTCAATTTGTAAGCGGTGATTTTTGTCCGTATTCTGTGATTTGTTGGATCAATTGTTGTTGATGCTTGTGTGCGGGTAGATGAAGATGTTTATAATTATGTATTTATTGATACATAAAAAGCATCTGTTCATGGTAGAATTTGGGGGTTTTGAGATTTTTGGTCAGAATTTCTTTTCTTGATAATTTTTTCGTGGTTTCCGTTTCTGGGAAATACATTTGCTTAAATACGGATTTTAGGGGGAATGAATTGGAACATGGAGATATTTATGATTTTTTTTGCCTTTGTTTCTTGATTTTTTTAAAAAAAACTTCTGGGTAAAGCATCTTGGAAAAGTTGGTTAAATTTATTTATTATAATGGGTTTTTAGTGTCTCAGTGATTCTACATTATCCTAGGCTTGTATAGAGCAAATGTCATGTTTTGATGATATAATGAATATGGACCTTTCAAATTCTGCTTTTCTGAATTAGCTGAACCTGATCGGCTCACCCTTCTATTTATGGAAGGGTTTTGCCAAAATATTGTGGATTTGAAATCAAGCTTTGCTTGGTTTTATTATTATTATTATTTTTTGTAATGATTTGTACTAGTCTTCATTTCATTGATTTAATCTATGCCGTGAAGTGTAGTTCTTGTTTCAATTCATGTTTTGTTTGTGAACACTGTATAATTCCTGGAGCTTGCTGTTTGATTATAAAATTTGATGTTATGCCATTGATTATTTATATTCCACATTACCACTGCAGGTCATAGGATTCACTGGTTACTGTGGCTCAAGATATTATCAATATCATTATTGGAGGTCCTTTTTTTATGTTTTGTGTTACTGAAGTGTATTTATTAAATTCTTGTAATGGTTGGCCGTCACATATGCTTTGGAGTAGAATAAAGATACTTTATTTCATTGGTAACTTTGATCCAGAGTCAATTCAGAGGTGCCAGTAGAGAGAAAGCCCATAACTTTAACTGGTGAGTAAAAATGTATTTCTATGTTGGATTGCATTGCGGCAATATTATATTCGCCGAATTCAATTTTTTGTTTGTTGGTGTTTTTTAAATCGTCTTAATTTCTATTTTTGAATGTTTAGACCTCTGGTTGTACACACTTTAATTCCAACTGAGGCAGACAATTTTGCTGGTTCTACACATGTTTTGTCTTCATTATAGTGGGTTTGAGATTGGGGTTTGAATAGATGTTCTCCTTTTTCTTCCTGTTATTAGGGGATTGCTTTGGGAAGGAAACTTTTTTATGGAGCACCAGCAGATCCATGAGTGGCCCAGGGTTTGTTCTCTCTAAGATCTAGATAACTCCTACGAGTTCTTTGAATTTCTATTTTAATGGTGAAGCAAAGGCTGAAAGGGTTTGAAGAAGCATAGAAGAAGAAGATGAGTTAGGGCGTGTTCGGTAGCTATTAAAATCAAATTAAAATTGAAAAATTAGCCATTATTGTTGACTTTTATTAGATGAGTGGAACCCAATAACGGCTATATTTTCAATTTTAATTGGATTTTAAGTCTTACCAAACATGCTCTTAATAAGCACTCAAATTTTCCAGTCTTGTGATATATTAGGTCAATTTTTCCATTTGGCAAGCTTGATTTGATCTTACATGATATAATGGGAAAAATATGTGGGAGATTAAAAAAGTTCAGTCTGGTATGATAGCTCTATAGTTTGTTTCAGATTTTTGAAGGGAAGTCTAGTCAAATGTGACTTGAATTAAAAGTGCTGTTCGATTGAAGCGATGAAGCCAGTTAAAGTCCTTTTGGCTTCTGGTCTTTCTATGTCCCTCCCTTTCTTTTTTGTTCTTTTATTTTTTTCCTGTTTGATTTCCTAAGCTCTTTCTAGTTTTAGATATTTGTAGCCTCTTCTTTTAGACAAGCATAGTTGATAGATGCTCGTTCTCCTGTCATTCCTTTATTGTAACCGCTATTAGGTTCGTGTGGCAATAAGAATTTTTAAATCCACCTCTAAGTGTTCAAATTCTGGTCTTCTCATTTTTCTTGGGCTTGTGGTCCTAATCTATAAGAGAGGAGGAAAGGGCATTTCGGGTGAGAATGGCAGTAGGCTAGCTTGATATTTTAGTCATGAGGAAAAGAAGCTAGGTATTGGAAGAGACTGTTTCTTCTTGCTCAGCTTATGTATTTCATAAATTAACCAAGTCAAGTCAACTATATTTATTGTCATTTTAATAAAAATGTACGTTTATGGTATGTTTGGTATGGAAGACTAGAATGGATGAGAAGAAATCAAGGAAGAGAGACATGTATCTGGGCATTGTTCAGAGCAGTCCAGTGTACGGAGCATGCCCTTGTGGTTGTTGCTAGAATCAGATTTTCGTTTATTTTTTAATGTTGTCTGCTTCGTCTGTTCAAATATGAATTGTGGGTTTGAAAGTAGGTAAACCATTAAGCTAGCTCTCTCTCTCTCTCTCTCTCTCTCTCTCTCTCTCTCTCATAAAGAGACATTCACACAAATATGCTCTCTCACACACCCTCACAAATGGCTTAAAATATTGCTGGATTTCTTTTGTCCATTTCATGACTATTGAAGTAGTTTCTTATAACTGTTTTGCTACCTGTACAGGAAGTGTTTTAAATTCTATGTTTGTCTTGTGATGCAGATCATGCAATTATGATTTCTACTGCCATTTTGTAGATTAAAATTATATTTGGTTTGTTTTTTTTTGACCTGTACCGGAATATAGCTGTTATGCTAATGAATTCAATATTAGAAACTTCTCACAGTGCAAATAGATGGCTGGTAGAAAGCGAAGCTTATCAAATGATGCAGATACGTCTGCTCTGTACAAGGAATTGGATGAAGTTTCTTGCCCCATTTGCATGGACCACCCACACAATACTGTTCTTCTCATTTGCAGTTCTCATGATAAGGGCTGTCGGTCATACATTTGCGACACTAGTTATAGGCATTCAAATTGCTTGGATCGATTTAAAAAACTTACAGAAGAAAACACAGACAGCTATACTACATTAGCACCCAGAAGTCTGCATGATTTTATTAATGCTTCTAGTAGGAACTTTGACCTGGGAACTTCAAGTGGTTTGACTTGGGATCATGTGAATCACGATCTTAATGCAAGTAACACTGGCACAACTGTGGAAATGCCTGGAGGATCTGGAGGAAGCAGCACTCATGATGCAGATTCTGACTTTGCAGAACAAGAAGGAATGTTGTGGGAAAGGTTTGATCTTGGAGAGACTAACATGGAGAAGCCAGAACCACAATCAAATTTGAGATGCCCTTTGTGCCGAGGGAGAGTTCTGGGCTGGAAGGTTGTAGAAGAGGCTAGAATGTATCTCAACCTGAAGTCCCGAAGTTGCTCTCGTGAATCATGCTCGTTCTCTGGTAACTATAGGGAACTACGTCGGCATGCTAGAAGGGTTCATCCGACAGCCTGCCCAGCTGATATTGACCCATCAAGACAGCAAGCCTGGCAACGCCTTGAAGATCAGAGAGTGAACAATGATATTGTTAGTGCCATTCGCTCATCCATGCCAGGGGCAATTGTACTTGGTGACTATGTGATTGATAATGGAGATAGGCTATCAGGTGATAGGGAAAGAAATGTAATTGGTGACTCTGTGTTTGGTAATGGAAGTGGGCTATCAGATGGAAGTGAAAGAGTTCTTGGTGACTATGTGTATGATAATGGAAGTGTGCTATCAGGTGGAACCAGAAGAAGTGGTGCTGAAGCTGGTAGGTGGTTAAGCACCTTCTTCTTGTTTCACATGATCGGTTCAATGGATCCAGCATCTGAGCGAAGAGGTGGCAGGTCAAGAGGTTTGGCAAGGCATCGACGCCCAAGCGTACCTTTTTCTAGACGGCACTATCTTTGGGGTGAAAGGCTGTTGCAAGATGATAATGATGAGGAAGAGGAGGAGGATGACGACGATGACGAAGAAGAAGATCATAATGAAACCGATCTAAACATATTGAGTGATATTGGTGAAGATATTCTTGCAAACCCGAGAAGGCGTCGAAGGCTGATGCGTTCTAGGTCAGATCAAGACCTATCTTGAGACTAGTTGCAGGTGGCTCCTGTAGTCTTCCTGTTTATTTGTGGACATAAGTCGATATTTCTCTGAAAAATGTGTTGGTTTCTCTTGATTGACCAGTTTTGATATTTCTAACCACGTTTAAATCATGTGCAGATTGCCTCTTGAAGAATGGATTTCAGCATGAGCTAGGAAACAGATCCATCAGCTCAGAGCCCGAAAATGAAGATCAAGAAAGGCGCATCATGAATACCTTTCTCCAGGATTTGTTTGCAGCTGTGGTTCCTTCAGTGGGAAGGGGCAAAGATGGAACAAGGTTACTTAATAGGGAATGAAATTGTTTGAACTTTAGAAATTTGTTGCTTTTAATATATTCTGTTGCATTTTATGTCTCCTTCCTTGTCAATGTTAAACTTGTATCATGCAAGTTGACATGTTCGCCCTTAAATTTTAAATTTTATTTCTTCGTCTAGATGCATGCTGAAGGATGTCTTTTCGTATATTTTATGTTTATATCTTGATACATTGTAATGGACAATAGTTTCTTCTTTGGTTCTGTCTAGTCAGCGCATCACACTTGTTAGTTAAAATAGACATTTTGAGAGTTAGTAGTTGTTTCCTGGGAGTCAGGGGCGGACCCAATGTAGGCTCAGTGCACTGAACTTTGGGCCATCCCCAGCCCAAGTTTAAAAAAAAAGTGGTGAATGTTGAAGAAGGCCAGGAAGGCTTGTGCCGATTCTCTCCCTCACAAGGATAAGAAAGAACATGATACCAGACCTCACAATTGTGAATTAGAAGGCTGTCAAATGAGTTTCAAGACAAATGCAGAGCTTCTCCTTCACAAACGCAATCAGTGCCCAGTCGATGGGTGCAATAAGAAATTCAACTCCCACAAATATGCAGTACAACACCACTTTGTTCATGAAGATGATAGGCCTCTCGAGTGTCCATGGGAAGGTTGTTTATGTCATTTAAGTGGGCTTGGCAAGGTCTGTACGCTTATGAGCGCACACTGGATTCGAGAATTTTTTTGCCTGTTGTGAAAAAAATTATTCGGCCCGTTCCTGCTGGGACTGTGATCTATCTGATGATCAGTGAGACATTAGCACCTTTGCATATTCAAAGCATGTAGTTTTGCTTCCTGCTGTGGTGATGCTATGTTCTACATGCTAGTCAAAATGGATCAGGTGCGCGAAATTGGCGACCCAGTTTGGTTGCAGACAATGAATAGGCCGGGGCTTTAAATAGGCCTTGTGGCCAACCCAATGGTTGGCTATATTAACAGGGGAGAATTTTCAAAGGGAAAAATTTATGGATCAAGCATTAACTATGAAGAAATCAATAATCAGGCATTAAGTTTCGTAGTTGCAAAACTCAGGTATTTAGTAATTAGTTAAATATTAATTCTATTATATTTACAAATCAATCTCCACCTTCCTACTGATACTTGATTTTTCTGTTACATTACTTTCCATTAATTGCGCTTGCAATTAAGACTCCATAAAATACCAAATCACCCTCCTAAAATACAATTTCGGCTTTGTTATAACGGAATCTCTCTCATTTGATATTGACGGCAGTACAATCGGGCTTCCAGGTCACAGTTCTAAGGTGTTAATATCCGGCCACCGAT